CTGGGGAATGATTTCTCATTTTCCCTGTCTCTCTCTGATGAAGGCATGTACCCTACAGCAAAACTTAAATAGTTATATGTCTAAGGTGAGCTATATTAAGAGACTATTATCTCTAAATGCACCTTCTCTACCTTCTCTATAATAATCTTTAAGTAGTAACTATGCTTATAACAGCCAAGTCAAATTATACAGAAGCAAAGTACACATATATGCTATACAATTCTCCTGGTCCTAACAAAAACTTAAAGTACCTTACTGCTTGGGTTAGCAAAGCAGATTCAAAACCTATATTACAGGGGCCAGCAGTCAGGTGCATGTGCACGCATGCCCAAGATCCCAGGAGGAGAAGGGATTGTGGTGTAGCCACTGCCCCTAGCAGGTGATTTCTTGGTTTCTGTCTCTCTCCAGTGAACACATGTGCCCTATAGCAAAAGTTTCTTTTAAAAACAAAAACTTGTATTACATTACATTTGACTATGTATGAGAGAACTTTAAGTTTGTGGAAAATCTAACTAGAGTACTGGCTACTCTGGTGTAAAAAATTTTGAAATCTGTATTTTTTCTAATATGAACATTCCATCAACCTTTTGGAGACCCTTCATAAACCATCTTTTAGTATTACTTTGTCATCAAGAAGTTAAGTCACACAGGTTAGCAAAATGGGAGCTGAAAAATGTGCATCATTTTTTAAAATGGAATCATTCATTCATTTTAATTTGACCAGAGAGACACACAGAGAGAGAGAAAGAGGGAGAATGCGAGAAAGCAAGCTACCAGGTCCAGGACGCAAACCATGGTGGGCCATGTGGGAGTGTCCAGCACCTTAACCACCACACCACCTGCTGGTCCCAAAAAATATGTATCTTAAATCTTGTCAAAAGAAATGCAGGACTACCTTTCTCCTTCCCCTGGGGTAAAATTAACACACAGCCTCAAATACTAGTCTTCCAGTTATACAACCTAATTGATCAAACCAACTCCTTTTTAAGTTCTCTAGCCAATATATGTATTTGGTTTATAACCTGGCAACTTAGCTAAAAGCAATGCTTTCTAAACCTTATTAGGTGAATGATCTAAGAAAATGTATGAAGCCATAGTCACTTGTTTAGCCATTATAATACTTAGGTTCTAGTATTGCTCTAAGATTTAAATGATGCTGGGGCCAGCAGGTGGAGTAGTGGTTAAGATGCTGGATCCCACATGGCAGAATGGGGTTTGAAACCTGGACCTAGCAGCTTATTTTCTCACTTCCTCTCTGTCTCTGGTGAGCACACATGCCCTATAGCAAATTTTAAAAAATAATAATAAAAAATAAAATTTAAAAATTCTTTTGGGACCAGCAGCTGGCATAATGGCTATGCCACTGGATTCCCATGTAATCATCCGTGGTTCGAGTCCTGGACCCAGTGGCTTAAACTCATGCCGGGCACATGTACGTGTGTACCCAAGATCCCGAGAGGAGAATGGAGAAGGGATTACAGCGTGGCCATCCCCCCTGGAAGGTGATTTCTCGCTTTCTGTCTCTGTCTTGTCTTTTTGGCAACCGCATATGCCCTATAGCAAACCTCCCCCCACCAAAAAAAAAAATCATTTAAAAAAAAGTTAAAATGATGGAATGCAATATAGTTATCTCTCACATACTAAGTGATCAAGTGTTATGATTCAAAAAAAATGTATGCAAGTATTCAAAATCAAAATAAATATGCCCTTGGGTAACCTGCATGAATTAAAAATTAGAATATTTCTAGGACAGCTCACGGTTAAAATTTTTCTATTTTCTATGTGTGTGTGTGTACATACACAATGCTCTTTATTTTTACTATAAAGAACTCAGGAGAGGCCAGCAGGTGTCCTGGTGGTTAAAGGCACTGGACTCTTATATGTCAACCGTGGTTCAAGTCTTAGACCTGGTGGCTTGCTTTCCCACTTTCTCTCTCTCTCTCACTGTCTGATAAAATTGGAAAATAAAGAGTTAAATAATTCTTAAAACAACAACAACAACAAAAAAAACAACTTAGGAGCCAGCCAGGTGGCATGCTGGTTAAGGCAATACAATCCCACATGGCAAACTGAAGTTGAGTCCCAGACATGGTGACTTGAAAAACACTGTGTGTGGGACCAGCAGTTAGCGTAATGGCTATGTCACTGGACTCCCATGTGGTCGACTGTGGTCTGAGTCCTGGACCTGGTGACTTAAACTCACGCCGAGCACGTGTGCGTGTGTGCCCAAGATCCTGAGGAGGATGGAGAAGGGATTGCGGCGTGGCCATCCCCCCAGGGATGATTTCTCGCTGTCTCTCTGTCTGTCTGGTGAGCGCACGTGCGGAAAAAAAAAAAAAAAAAGAAAAACACTGTGTGTGTGTATATGTGGGTGTGTGCACGCGTGCCCAAAATCCTGAGAAGGGACAATGGTGTGGTCATCCTCCCATGTGTGCTCTTAATGTCTCTCTCACCCCAGTGAGTACACATGCCATTTAGAAAATTTAAAAAAAGAAAAACTTAGTAAGCAGTAAAGTTACCTGTAAGAAACTTTAAACTTCTAAATCCTATTAACTGATCCCTTTTAAAATATGATTTTAAGATCAATGATCTTATTAATCAACTTACCTTAAAAAAGTATTTTATTTGTTTTCTTTTTTTTTTCTTGACAGGTTTTTGCTATAGGGCACGTGTGCTTGCTCGAGAGATAGAGAGACAAAGTGAGAAATCACCCCCCCCAAGGAGGATGGCCATGTCACAATCCCTTCTCCATTCTCTTCTCTGGATCTTGGGCACGCACGCACACATGCCCGGCGTGAGTTCAAGTCACCACAGTCGACTACGTGGGAGTCCAGTGACAGCTACTATGCCAACTGCTGGTCGCAAAAATGTATTTTATTTCTAAACTAAAGTTTATTTTATAAACTTTAAATAATCATGATAATCCTTTCTGAATGAGGAGGTATTCATACCGGATACCTGATTAGTGTAATTAAATCGCTATCATGACAAAAAGAAAATAAACATCAGCATAAGAGTCACAATGGGGACCAACAGTTAGCATAATAGCTATGTTGCTGGACTCCCACGTAGTCGACCGCGGTTCAAGTCCCGGACCCAGTGGCTTACACTCACACCGGGCACATGTGCGTGTGTGCCCAAGATCCCGAGAGAATAGAGAAGGGATTGCGGTGTGGCCATCCCCCCTGGGGGGTGATTTCCTGCTTTCTGTCTCTCTGTTTCTCTGTCTGGCGAGCACACGCGCCCTATAGCAAAAACCTCTCAAAACAAACAAACAAACAAAAAAACCATGGTGTGCTATACTAGGTATAAAATAAATCCTTAAAAAAAAAAAAAAAGAGTCACAATGAGTTTGTCATAAACTCTTTCCGTTAAATATTGATAGAAATTCTAAGACAAACAGAAAATGTATGGGCTGAGAGGGACAATGTTCCATGTATTCTACGTTACTGTTCCTGTTTGAGATGCACTAGTTGAATTCATCAAGTGCAAATTAGAAGTGTTTCTGGGAGGCTGGCAGGTGGAGTGGTGGTTAAGGGTGCTGGACTCCCACATGGCCAATCATGGTTCAAGTCCCGGACCTGGTGGCTTGCTTTCTCACTTTCTCTCTCTCATTCATTCTCTCCCTCTCTGGTCAAATTAAAATAGATAAATAAATAAAATTAAGTAAAAAATAATTAAAAAAAAGAAAAGTGTTTCTGTATTAACTTTGTCATTTAAGCATTCACATCATACTTTATGGCCTCTTCAGTGACCAGGAGAAATCATCCTTAACTTTTTTTTATATTAGTAGATAAAACTACCAGATAAAGGTTCGTGTTTCTCTAAGTATTTAGACTATGCCCTCTGAGGGCAGGAGAACACCGGGCTGTGAGTCAGTTAAACTTAGGGCTCTGAACCTCATTAGTAAATAGGCCTCTGGTGTTAAGCTTGGAAAAGTTACTCCAGAGCTCAGTGAATTCAGTTTCCTCCTCTTTCAAGCTAGAACCAAACGACGTTATATTTCAGTAACAATTAGCAGTTTTCAGAGTGCATAGGCAAGTTGCCTCTCCTGCAGGTTTACAAGGACCCTGATGGGCAGGCAGGCAAGGAAGGTGTCAATGCCCTCGTTCATAGTAGATTTCTTAGGAAGAGTTAGGAGGATCACCTAACTCTGCAAAAACTGCAAAATACTAATCCAACTCATAAGACATGAGCACAAATCCTCATATTCCTAGCCTTTCTGAAAGTCTGTATTGAGGTATGCCAATCTTAATGGCTGAGTGATTGAATACATCAGTAACAAAAGGTTTTCAAAAGGCTAAAAATAAAAAGCAAATGGAAGTCGATTTTTTTAACATGCTAAGAACATGTGTGTTCTCTTTTCAAGCACATGCATATACAGTCACAGAAAAACCTGTGGGTATTCTAAGGGTATTCCCAAAACATCAATTGTGAGTTGCGCGAGGTGGTGGGAGTACAGATGTTTATTTTTCCTAATCTGTGTTTTACAAAATAAACATCTGCTAATACTTTAAATAAAAACAGGCCAAGGGAATTACTCACTGGCTGGTTACACGCACGTGCGTTGAAAAGCTCCAATTGTAAAAACTGTGACAACTCCCAGAAACCCACCGGGATTTCAAGGACAAGAGCAGGAAGCCCGGAAATCAGTAAAAATGGGTGGTAAGTGGCTCCCCGAACCATCTGCGACAGCCACGACCACTTCGCTTCAGCCTGAATTCAGAGCAAGCTGCAACTGGGGAATCAGAAATTCCGTCTTGCACCTCCTCGATCTCGAGGCGGAAGTGGGAGGAAAGGGCTAGGGGGCGGCAGGCGCTCGCAGTGGAAGTACCAAGAATGCGAAGGACCGACGCCCAGAGTCGGTGCTGAAACGGGCCCGACGCCCCCGTCCCAAGCTGGGCGCAGAACGACGGGCTGGAACCAGGCCGCGGCGCCAAGACGCTTCCAGACCGGCCCGTGTGCCCTCCCGACCTCGCGGGCCCGAGCCCCCATCTTACATGGTTTCTTGGCATCCTTGATCTTCATGGCGTCGGCCTGAGGGGCGAGCAGCAGCCTCGGTCCGGGGCGAGGAGAGCACTGGCGGCGACTCCGGAGGTGGCTGGGCCGCG